GTTTTCAGAGTAAAAGATTTGAATCAAGTTTTGGACCAGATTACGATCCGACATTTCAAGTTTCCCTGAAGACGAGCACAGAGACCGTGGATTTGAAGGTCAAGGACCAAGATGGAAACGTAGTCTGGAGTTATCTCGTGTCACTGGAAGGTAAAGACTCCACCTGAGCTCAGACCCAGTGATAGACTGATAACTCTAAAGCTCCATCTCATAGCCTTCTCTATTAAGGCTCCATGGCAGCGCATCATTACGACATTAAACACACAACCTGTAATGTTCTAAAACTATAGTAAAAACTAGTGTGGTGTGGTGGTGAAACAGCGTGGCATCATGGGAGTTGTAGTCTTCTCATGCTTAAGTGGATTACGGCATTACAGGAGACCGTGATGAAACGTACTGTGTATACAGGTGTAGGAGTTTTTACACATTTGAATGAGGAAATGTTACATATTATAACTTTAAGTGAACAGAAATCCACCTCTGGGATTGTCGAGTTACTTTAATTTTTAAGAGATCTGTTTAATGTGATTGTTGGTTAACAAAAGTATTATCCCTATTTATCTACCAGGTCCAAGACATGACTTGTCCCAGAGAAATGTCCCAGCAGAGAGCAGAGTCTCAGCAGAGAGCAGAGTCCCAGCAGAGAGCAGAGTCCCAGCAGAGAGCAGAGTCCCAGCAGGGAGCAGAGTCCCAGCAGAGAGCAGAGTCCCAGCAGAGAGCAGAGTCCCAGCAGAGAGCAGAGTCCCAGCAGAGAGCAGAGTCCCTGCAGAGAGCAGAGTCTCAGCAGAGAGCAGAGTCCCAGCAGAGAGCAGAGTCCCAGCAGAGAGCAGAGTCCCTGCAGAGAGCAGAGTCTCAGCAGAGAGCAGAGTCCCTGCAGAGAGCAGAGTCCCAGCAGAGAGCAGAGTCTCTGCAGAGAGCAGAGTCCCTGCAGAGAGCAGAGTCCCAGCAGAGAGCAGAGTCCCTGCAGAGAGCAGAGTCTCAGCAGAGAGCAGAGTCCCTGCAGAGAGCAGAGTCCCAGCAGAGAGCAGAGTCTCTGCAGAGAGCAGAGTCCCTGCAGAGAGCAGAGTCCCAGCAGAGAGCAGAGTCCCTGCAGAGAGCAGAGTCTCAGCAGAGAGCAGAGTCCCTGCAGAGAGCAGAGTCTCAGCAGAGAGCAGAGTCCCTGCAGAGAGCAGAGTCCCAACAGAGAGCAGAGTCCCAGCAGAGAGCAGAGTCCCTGCAGACAAGTGGCTGCTCTCAGTTCGGGAAGAGTTTATTCAAAGAGTTTCTTCACCTGTCCTGAAGGAACTTCTGGATAAACTCTTTCAGTCTGAAGTGATCAGTGATTCTGAAATGGAGTCAGCCAGAACCAAATCCCGAAATGACGGAGCACGAGAGGGAGCACGAGAGGTGGTGGACACGGTGCAAAAAAAAGGAGTTGAAGCCAGCAGGGTTCTGATCAAAGCTCTCCGAGAGCTGGACCCCCATCTTTACGAAGAGCTCAACAAGCAAAACCTGAGTGTGTGAAAGCCCTTGCTAGTTCTGCATGTTGTGGCTACCTGTAACTAGAGATGGGTGTCAGGTACTAAATTGTTACCGGTACCTGATTGGTCAGGTGATGTGGCCGTCTGACCGCCGTCAGCCAGCAGCGCAAACCCTAAAGCCACCTTTTCTTTCATTTGTTTTATACAAAAACAAATCTGAACATCATATGTTTTGAATACAAACCAATGGACATCAGGGGGGGAGATATGTTATTAAAACACTGCAGAGCCCATACTGTGCCTGTTTACTTCCTGTCTGTCTTCTGCTGTTCCCATTGATGTTTACTTCCTGTCTGTCTTCTTCTGCTGTTCCCGTTGATGTTTACTTCCTGTCTGTTTTTTTAATTACATTTCTTTGCACTTACTGAGATAAAAGAGGAGGATTTAGAAGAAATGTTAAATTGGATATGTGATAATACGTTTAACTGTTCAAACTGCTTCTGTGAATACATTCATTATTATTAAAAACACACACACACACACACACACACACACACACACACACACACACACTTTTCTGAATGTTCTTCCAATGAAAATAAAAAAAGACAAATTGATAAATTATATATATTTTTCACACATTATATTGTGTTAGTAACAAACCACACAAAGATTGAAGTTAAAGACTTATTTAATGTGCATCTGGAAAGCTTTGCTATTCTCTTACAGTACTTTACAATATTTCAAAAGGTCACGTTTTAATACAAAGTCAAACAAAAACAATAAAATAAACTGGCTAATATTTCTGATTCCAGCTAATCAATAACAATTAGATTCAAGAGAGGATTTCTGTGTGAGGGTGAAGGTTTAGAAATTTATCATCTGAGAATAGGAGGCGTTGTTCTGATAAATAACGTGAGGAATATTAACGATAAACACACAGGTTGAGGCACTTGCTGAATCCATCGTTTTCTGACACACATTTCTCCGTACACACTTATAACAACAAGCTATAAATAATCATAAACAATAAACAGTGCAACAATTCTCTATGTGTTAAAAAAAGGAATGGAAATATAGAATGAATACTGTGGCGCTGATCGTGTTTATAAGATATATGAATTCAAGACGCCCGTATACAAGATGGCGCCGCGGACGTAAACAACAACGCTGTGACTTCCCGACATCCGCCATTTTGGAGAGCTACGTACGGCAACCCAAGTAGGACATTTGACACAGAAGCGTTTCACAAAGAGGAGAAAAAAACTCAAAAATCCCGACAACCTAATTTTTATTGCAACGTAATTTCCAGATTATTTGAGAATAACTCCTTTTAGTGGGTTGAGTAAATTCAATCATTTATGGCATTCATAATTTACATCTAATTCTTAACTGTGAATGTCTTTCATTTTATGTAAAATCTGAAATGTTTTAGTCCGGCCAAAATGTTCTCTGTTGAGCTTGGAAAAAAGGGAAATTACATCAAATATTTTCCATTAAAAAGTTGATTCAAGACAAAAACTCTTTGTAATTTCTCTGTTATCGTATTTCTTATTGTTTATACGTTTATGGCAGATCAACACATTCTTGCGCAGTGCAATTCAGGCAGCCGTCAAATGACCTATTTGGGTTGCCGTACGTAACTGTCCAATATCGGGGGTATGACCACCCAATTTTACGAAAGGCAACCCAAATAGGACATCATAGAAATCCAAAAGCTAGGGAAGCTCTTTCAGATTTAGCAATAATTGTCCTATATTTGAAAAACACTGATTTAATAACAGAGATTTGTTCTTCAATTTTAATGAAATGTCCCTTTTTTCCAGGAATCTCAACAGAGAACGTTTTGGCCGGACTAAAACATTTCAGATTTTAGATCAAATGAAAGACATTCACAGTTAAGATATTAATTATAAATGATTGCCTACATTTACAGTTTCTTATTTCTCCAGTTTGGTAGCTGAAGTTAAATCCATTCCTCACTTATTGTCAGAAAGTAATTAACCCACTAAAAGGAGTTCTCAAATAATCGGGAAATCACGTTGTAATAACAATAACTCATCTCTCGTTCAGATTCAAAACATTTAAAGTCAATTAAAGACCTATCTTTTTATTTTGGCTTATCATTTGGGGCAACTGTAATTTGTTAGAATCACTGTTCATGTTTTAAGATATAACTTTCTGTTTGTTTACACCTAGTTTTTAATTATGTTCCTCATTTCTTATTGTCCTTTTCTGTCATCCTCTGTAAAGCATGTCAAATGTCCTTCTTGGCCGACCAACTCTTTTTGACTGGTCATATTTCTGGAGTAATTATACAGTTTTTGAGGAACAGAAATGTTGTTTTCTGGCATCACTTTAACATTTTAACAAGGTGCTGGTGGGTAAGCAAGTTGGGAATAATAAGCTAAATATATATATACGTTAAGTCCTCCAGGAACAACTGAAGCTTAATTAATAAATGTGACAATAAAATAAAAAACTGCTAAACATTCTCTTATCTTCCTACAGCAGCGTATTACTGAAACACCTAGGATTGAGTACATGAAAAAAAATAATAATTAAAAACCCTTAAAATAATAACGTACAGAGCACAGATTAAAATCAGTCCTGTTTGAATAATTATCTGAATATTTCTAAATTAAGAGTGACTTTTTTAGCCGATATCACCTCCTCAGTTCCCCCTCTATACATTACAATGAATACAAATTAAGGTTTATATCTTCTCTCTTAGCCGTAGTGCTAATTATCGGACGTTTCTACAACCAATATATTAAAAATATGACCATAGAAATGTATGAATGGCACTACAGGTAAGAGAAGAAAGGTGTATTTTCATTATGATTATGATTTTAAAGGGTTTAATTATAATCTTTATTCAATATTTAATACTTCTGAATGAATCCAAACTACTTTTGAAATGTGAACAGTGCAACAACGATGTCGAAAAACTGGTATCATCGTTCTTTAAAATGTATTTTCTCCACTATCAATGCTATGCTAACACGCAGTCTACAGCGCTGGAAGTAATAAAAGTTGTATTTCTGCTAAAACTAAACCTCTGAAATATAAATGTTCCCACAGACTTTGAAACCTAATGTTTATCTTTGGTTGGAGCTTCTCCTTTTTCAAACCTTTCCTCCTAAATGTGAGTTCAAAGCTCTGATTATCTCCTGAACAAAGACTATGAACATATTCATCATCTGTTTATAAGTGACAGTTATTTTTGTATATATTGACTCTTGTGCCTTTATATTTTCATGTTGTATTGATGCCTCTTAATGTGGGACTTTGTATACATGTGTAAATGTTTGATTATGTAGATATCTTTAAATATTTTAACTTTTATTCATCGGGATTGTGAGAAACAGCATTTCTAAGATGTGGAAAATACAGCTAAATATGTACTTTTAATAAAGGTGTATCCTGTGTATAATCTGGTATAATTGAAATGTGTTGTTTTTTTCCCAGGAATGGCTTCGAGGATACAAATTAATATTTTCTAAGTAAAACAATTGACATTGTTTTGCTAACTTTGCAGCTCCCTTTTTCCTCTCATTACAGCAGCAGTCGAGTGCTTTCACCTTTCCAATCTAATTACATATTCATAATAAACACACAGAGTTTACACAGCATTTACATGTGTTGAAACATGCTTAATCTAAACACATCCGACAACATACCTCACTTTCTGTTTCCTCCCATTCCTCATTACCTCAAACATTAAATCAAAATCAAAGCTCTTTCTGTTTAACCAATTTAAATCTAAGTTTCCATAGAAAACCTCTCCTCAGGGATTAAGCCACTTGTTGAAGGACTTCTCAACATGTAGAGAAAGTCTCATTTTCAAAGGAGTGAAGTGACCCTGAGTCACAGTGTCAGAGGTCAGAGGAAATGTAACAGCATAAACAGGCAATCATTCTGCCTAAAGGGAATCACAGTGAGGTTAAACATCCTGCTGTGTTTCTCTGGATCTGGATCTGGATCGTACCACACTGACGATCACTGATAGAAATCTTCGCCCGCTACGATTTGATCCAGATCGTTGATCCTCTCCGGAGAAAAGCCTTCCTCGATGGCTACCTTCGAAGCAAGGACCTAAAAGACAGATATATGTATTATATATATAGATTTTATTTTACAGTATGTTTTGTGTTATGCTGCTCTATCTCACACAGGCTCCGCCCTCTACTGGACTCTATGGGTACTACTCTCATCAATGATACGCAAGCGTTCACACACTGAAGTTGTATAAACGTAGCCGGCCAATCAGGGCGAGTCTACCTGAATGCACGCGCAGGCTCACAGCAGTGTTGTAGTCAAGTCACCAATTCACGAGTCCAAGTCACTCTCGAGTCACCACTCTTCGAGTCCGAGTCCAAGTCCGAGTCACCCAAGGAGTGTCCGAGTCGAGTCCGAGTCCAAGTCCGAGTCACCAAGGGAGAGTCGTAGTCGAGTCCGAGTCACCCAAGGAGAGTCCAAGTCAAGTCCGAGTCACAAGTCTTCATGTATTAATCTTCGTGGATATATGTGTTGAAATGTAGCTGCTCCTCTACATTGCTTTTATCCTGTCATGTTATACTAATCTGTCTATTGAACTGCTGTGAAGCCAGTTTGGCTACAATTCTTGTAATAGGTGCTATACAAATATAAAGCTTATTACTAATATTAATATTATTATTATATATAAATAAACTATATTTAAAATTAGTTACCTTTTAGAGAAGTGATTATATTTGTATGCCAATATTTTCCTATGGTAAAGTTTTCGTTTTGCACTTTTATTTTGATAGTAATAAGATCGGGACTCTTATTTTGAAGGAACTTTTACCGGTTAAATCGGTTTACTGATGAAGATTTAGCCCCAGAAAGCACATGGCTACTTAGCATGCAAAATGACGTCATTCTGCATGTTAACCTGTTAAGCCCTGAGCCTGTTTTTCAGCTTTCAGGCTTGAAAATACCACTTCCACAACAAAGACTATATCTTCACTTCTAAAAGGGGGAAATTAATAATCTTTTTTCTCAAAGCAAGGTTACATCTGTGAGTTGGATGAAGAAGTGTCAGAAATCAATATAGATGTTTTTATTTTAAAATAAATTCATATGGAACATAGTAAAAACATGTAAATTCTATCTCCGCCTAAAAAAAACCCATTACAGATAGTGAAAACCACCCTTGGATGATGGGTTAGTAGACTAAAAGCTTTAGGAATCCAAAGCACAAAATATAATAAGTACCCTGTATCAAGATTGATGCAAAACAAGATAAATTTGACCTTTTTAGAGAGATTTAGAAAAATAAAGTCCAGGCGGACTCACCTCTGGGTAATTTGGGAACCATCAGTTCCATTTGACCTTTTTCACTGTAAAAATCATTTTATTACTTTGAATTATCACTATAGGTATTCATTCCATCCAAATACAACTGTTATAAAAAAAAATAAAAAAATAAAAAAAATATACAAAATGAAGTTTGACTCCAACTGGAGCAGATTTATTTAAAACTTTACAATTTAGCATGCCATTCCTCGTAACAATTTTTTTTGGAAGTGAAGCACAGAGGGACCTCACACTTCCTGCAGTACACAGCTGTCTTCACCTTCTTTTTGCCAGCATCATGGCAGTTCCTGCAGTTCTTCCTGATCCGGACATCTTTCCCATAAAACTTGGGCCCGCATGTGAGTGGTGGTGGTGGTGGTGGTGGGGGGGGGGTGGAGGTGTTCCAAATTCCAACATTTCTGCAGCAAGCTGCTCCCTGAAAGTCTTCTGTGTGTGTGGCTTTGTCCTGCTGGGGTCACTCGTCATCTTGTGCAGCTCCTTGTGGAATCACCTGGGAAATTGAAGTTATATGGCCATTTCTTCCTCCAGTAGTCCGATCGGTTGGGAACGGTGACGAGGCCTGAGAAAATTATAATGGACAGGAAAACATAGAAATCCCTCAGTCAGCATTTTCCAAACATGCTTCTTTCCAGCCTGCAGTCTTTTCAGGGCGTTGGCGTTCGTGTTGGAAATTATTGTATGAACCACTGAAGCGCTAAAAAAAAGTCTGAAAATGGAGAGGGGAGACCATGCTACAGTGGGGTCGAGCGCTGGGCCTGGGACCCTGGCTGGTGTGAAATTCAGTGGCTCTGGTGTTTGGTCATTCTCCTCTCTGTTGTGCCACCCGAGTTCTTCTTCTGTCATTCTGGAAGAGGAAGAACCTTGGCCACGCTTCCTGCGTTTTACACATTTATCTGATGCTTTTCCTTTTCCTGGCTGAGGAGCGGGAGCCCCACCTCGGCCACGCTTCCTTTGGTTTACAGATGCATCTGACGCTGCAGAAAGCTGGTAGAAACCAGACGATGGTAAGTGAGTGCTTTTTGGATGCAGGCTGAGTGGCCAATACTGGTGCAGATCTCTTTCTGGAGGAATGTGATGGTGAGGCAGGTGTGGTCTGGGTGAAAGTAGGCAGTGGTGAAGCCATTGCATCCTCATCTCCATCACTATGAAAAGAAATGTGGAAAAACAAAGAGATTAGATTAATTCCTGTAATTCCTGTTTCCTTGGCAGTAAACATGCCATTTTGAGTGTGTGAATGAAACCCATTTAGTGACTATAGAGCCATTTCATCCCCATCACTTTGAAAAGAAACACTTTTTTTTTTTTAGATAATGTCTCAGGGCTTCTTAAATTTATGAAACTATTAATGTGTAGCACCAGATTAACGGTAATAATCTCAGCTAACTGAAGATATGAACCATTTTTAGCTAAAAGAAACACAAGAGTAATACTAAGCCTTAGAATTAGCATTTTGCGAAAAAATGCTAACTAATGCTAACGGAGTTTTGCACAGCACTCACTCTCAAAATGCCCTTATTACTTATCGTAACTGCACAAACAAGATATCCGATTAAAGCTGAGACTCCACATATTCCATACATGTAGTGTCATCACTGTACGACCCCGAATTTGCGGAGCTTTCAGCCAGAAAAGAGAAAGTAAACAACATCCGGTTTCAAAAATATTACAATAATTACATCTTACCTTTTTTGATTTGTGATCAAAAGTTGTGTTCAACAGAATAAAAACGCTGCTCAAGGTTAATCCAATGTGTCTGTGTCACGTAGCATTTTTTACTGATAATACATCATCATATTTATGGCAATAAACTGGGTATAAAGTTTTGCAGTCAAGGCTTGTACTTTCAGATGTGCTTCGTTTGTTTCTCTATTACCTCTTAATTATTTATTAACTATATGAATAATCGTACACCAAATAACTAAGTAATAGATAAAAACAGAGAGATTACATACCTTTCCCGTGGTGGAATTTCATCATCAGAGTCACAACGCTCCGGGTTCCGTTCTGGCTGCAAGAGGTCCTCGTCGTCTGACTCAGAATCAACAGGTAACATGTCTGCATCGCTGTCAGCATTAGTCACCATTTCCATTGCCTGTAAAGTCGTAAGCATCTCTTTCCTGCAAGCCATTATTACAAGTATAGCAAGTATAGCAAAAGTCCTAAACGCCAATCTTGTAGTCTGCTCCGTTATCTGCTGTCCGCTCTGCGCTCTGGGTCCTGCTGCAATTCCTCTTGTTTACGTACTAAACACTGCGTAGAGTGTGGTGCGTAGTGTGTGTGCCGCTGGCATTCACAATTTATACTTTACGCAGGACCATATCTATGGAACCCATTGGTCGATTTGAGTGATTTACACCTTTTTCTTAACCATTAGATCCAATAGAATCCGATGGGCAGTTCCAAAATCTACGTAAACATTACCATTGCGGAGGTAATAGAGAAACAAACGAAGCACATCTGAAAGTACAAGCCTTGACTGCAAAACTTTATACCCAGTTTATTGCCATAAATATGATGATGTATTATCAGTAAAAAATTCTACGTGACACAGACACATTGGATTAACCTTGAGCGGCGTTTTTATTCCGTTGAACACAACTTTTGATCACAAATCAAAAAAGGTAAGATGTAATTATTGTAATATTTTTGAAACCGGATGTTGTTTACTTTCTCTTTTCTGGCTGAAAGCTCCGCAAATTCGGGGTCGTACAGTGATGACACTACATGTATGGAATATGTGGAGTCTCAGCTTTAATCAGATATCTTGTTTGTGCAGTTACGATAAGTAATAAGGGCATTTTGAGAGTGAGTGCTGTGCAAAACTCTGTTAGCATTAGTTAGCATTTTTTCGCAAAATGCTAATTCTAAGGCTTGGTATTACTCTTGTGTTTCTTTTAGCTAAAAATGGTTCATATCTTCAGTTAGCTGAGATTATTACCGTTAATCTGGTGCTACACATTAATATTTTCATAAATTTAAGAAGCCCTGAGACATTATCTAAAAAAAAGAAAAGTGGGAGGGGTTCAATGGGGGGATCGCCGGGCTTAAGAGGTTAAATAAAAATTGTACAGTGGCTTGGCTTTGAAATATGCAAATAGAAATCTTGTAAAAATCTAACTTTACTGTGTATAGTGTATACTAAAGTGCATGAAATTATGCTAATATCATAAACTGTGTTTTACTTCAATTATGTGGTGTTTAGATATTCTACAGTCTAGGTTGAAAGACTATTATGTAAAGTTTCTTATCTTAATATCAGGAACCACCTGTGATTCTATCTATGTGTGATGAAGTACGTGTTCATCTATAACACTTGAAAGTAAACTTTAGCATATTATTATAATCAATTGGTGTTGTATTTATACGTTTTTTTTTTTTACCCCTATCTTGTGCAACAATTCTGTACAACCAACAGAGTGCGCTGTTGTGATTTTGTAAGAAGCTTATTTTCTTAATAACTACCTTTGATATGGGAAGGAAATTCACTTTATGATTAAACAGTAAAGCATAAACAGGTAAAACTCCTTTGCAAGGACTAATATTTCAAAGCTTTGAGCTTTAGAAAATACAATAATCCTTTTCTTCAAAGACCAAACTCCAACGGTATAGATAACCTGATTCAGCAAAATGGAATATCTAATTCCAACTTTGACTCAAGAAGAATGATTTGTTCTACACACTATGGAGGTCATGAATATTGAATTAGCCTCATGTGAGTGAAACTGAATGGATTTAAAAAAAAAAAAACTGGTCCT